AGCAGTGTGGGACTTCAGCAAGCTTGATTGCCTGAGACATGTCCACCCAGAAACCCCTGAGGAAGGGGTTTGGGCTGGCATGGGGGGCTGGACTGAGGCTGCCAGGGGTCAGTTTTGGTGTAAGAGCATGAGATGAGGTTTTGGAGCAGTTTGGAGAGCGAGTGGGAGGAGGGTTACAAATGTGAGGGAAGAATCATGAGGGATTTATCACAGCCTGAAATAAATTAACCTCTGGGAGAAATGATTTTGTAATAATTTGCATTTAGATACTCTGACACATCCAAATAACCCCAAACCTTCTGCAAACATTGTAATGAATTCAATCTCCAACAGCCTGTGAGAGGGATAGAAATAGCCCTATTTACATGGTTAAAGGAGCCAAGGGCTCTTCTCTCAGTTTTCCATTTTGCACCCCTGGGACTGCCCTTCTCTCTCATTTTCATGGCTACCGAGCCTAATGGTGGGGTGAAACACAGCAGCAGCGAACAGCTAGAGAGCTTTTCTGAACTCAGCTGAGATCCTGCCACCCTGGTGTGTTACACTGCATGCCATGGCTGCAGCGGCTCCCGGCACAGCCCACGCCAGGCAGGTCCACGGCCGAGGGGAGCCTGCATGGGCCAGGGCTGTGAGGCCAGGAGCACACAGGGGAAGAAGCAGGGACCTGAGCCCTGTCTCAGCTTGTGTCCGTGGGGGCTGCAGGCAGGGCTATTCCCCCTGCAGGCACCCTGCCACAAAGCAGCGCAGCTCCACCCCTGAGGGGAAAGTGGTCAAGTGATTTAATATTCAGCACCCTCAAATACAGTAATGAATTTGATAGCCAAAATGATCTGCTAACCCAGCCAGCTGAGAGGGTGTTTGAAGGACGATCCAAGCCCGTAGCCAGGCAATGTGATATTTTCTTGTCATCAGCCTCCGGCCTATTCCTTTCCACTCTAGGGCAGTTAATCATAAATGAGATATTTGTTTGATGCTGTTTTCATGCATGCTCTGCCCTGTCTCTGTTTCCAAGAGACCACTAAGTTGGTGGGTTACATCCCACCCCGACGTAGGCAGCCTTTGCAGGAGAGCTGGTGCTTCCAGGGACACCCAAATAGAACCACACCTTTTGGCTGCCAAAGGCTTGAGCAAGACAGTAGTTTTCTGAAGGGAAGCCAAGCATCCTGAAGTGTATCTTCTCTTACACAAATGTGTCTTAAATCTGGAGTGTGTAGAGCAGTGTGAAGCTGCTATTAACTCAGCCATCGAACGCAGCCTTGGCGTCGCTGTGTTCCACTGCCAGACCTGCTCAGCTAGGGTCTGCGAGTCAGGGCTGGAGAGCGATGGCTGGGTTTCAGTTACAGACTAGTATGGGACAGAGGGATCCTCCTTGGGCCTGACCCAGCGCTGGCCTGAGTCACTGGGAGTGTATCCGCTATCTTTAAGGAGATTTGGAGCAGCCCTCTGCCTGCTGCCCGTCTGGCTTCTGCCGTGCTCACTGGCTTTTGAAAAGCTCTTCCAGGGGCCAGGAGCGTGTGCTCTCAAGCAAGCGGTTAGCAACGTGGCAGCTGTGTACAGGGGGAAATTTCTCTGACGCAGTAGTGGAGAGGAGAACGCACACTGTATCTTGCAAATTTAATCCTCGTAAAACACCTCTATCTCTCCATAGATCTCTGCAGATAATCTCCTGCCAAGTGAACCAGAGATATTTATAGTGCAGCTTCAGCAATGACATAACGGCAAGTTAGCAAACAAATGAACTTTGAAATATAAGGAGAGCAAAAATATGGTCTAGAGTGTGTTTGGTTTGGAGTCAATAAAAAAAAGTTAAATAATAATAGTGAATGTTTCCAGGGTGGGTCAGGTTAAAAAGCAAAGAAAGCAAAGTGTTTTCATAGTGCTGTAAGACTGTTTCATGTGCGCTGAGTTTGAGTTACACAGACAAACAATAAAAAGTTTGCTGTGCACTGAGATGAAGTGCTGAGTACCATACAAATGCCTGCAGAAAGCTGAGAGAAATGTTGCTTCAAAAGGGATTGAAACTGCTCTGAGTTCAAGCATTAAAAAAAATGTATATTTAATTCACAAAGTTGTGTAAAATTAACCAGTTTTATCTATGACTGTGACTTTTCCCTTGCTTTGTTGTCTTTTGCTCTGCCTCCTTCCCCCTCTGTTCATGGTGCAGGTTGGCTGGAGGTTGTTTAAAGCTCAGCTCGCACAGCAAGGTGTTGGACTGATGAAGCTGAAACACGCTCTCTGCCTTGCCTGGGGTGGGAGCATGGAGGTTCTTGTCTGGTCATGTCACGTTTTAATTAGCGCGCCTCACACTTGTGCTGCTCCTCGCTGTTCGTCAGGGAGCTTGGGCGCAGCACGGGCTCCTCATCCCTGGGGGCAGGCCCTGTTCTTCCCCAGAGCCCCACACTTTCCCCGTTTTTTTTGTTTTTAAAACCTGTGGGGGAAGCCTGCTTGACTGGCAGCTTTGGTGATGGTGTCGTGTCCCCTCGCTGGGGCCCAGGTTGGCTCTCCCTGGTTTCAGGCGGGTCTCCTGGCAAATCCTGCCAAGGGGATTGCAGCCAAGCCCTGCTCGCTGGCAGCAGGCGGGAGATGGGCGTTCCCCAGGAGGTTCATTCCCGCTGCTTTATCTTGGTTTACCCAAACAGGGTTGTTGGTGGCTCAGGCTGAACCTGCAAGCTGTGGTGGGTGCCGGCGCCCAGAGAAGGGGCGGGAGTGCTCGTGCTTTTGGGTGCTGTCCAGCGCAAGCCCTCGCAGGACCAGGACTTCATCTGCAAAATTTTTCAGCAACTGAGCTGCTGGTGGTAAAGGCAGTCTTTGGGAACCACTGGGGCCTTTTGGGATCCGTTTCCTTGCGTTTGGGCCTTTCAGGGAGGCCTCACGGTGTCCCAAGGGCAGGGTGGAAGGACGCGTGCCGCAGCAGAGCAGCCGTCAACAGAACTTCATCCTCGTCAGAGATCCTGTGGCAGCAGAAATCGGATGGAAGAGGCTGGACAAGAAGAAAGTTTTTAATTTGCCATGACAGGAAACAAAGCTGTGTCTTGTCAAAAATTTACAGCTCCCTTTTTCTGCCTGTCTGTCACATGTCAGCAATCCTCATGATGACTTTCCTGTAGAAATGCAGGGTACAGAAATGAGCCCAGGGAATGAATTGCAACAATCTAGTTTATGAAGGGAGGAAAGGCTTAGGCAAGCACTGTAACTTAAATTGCATTTGGTTTGGGAAGTGCTGAGCCACATGATGTTCGTATTTGACTCTTTCTCCCGAAGCAAGTTGCTGCTATTGCTGTTGCTGCGACAGCATGGTGCAGTGCTGCCTGCCTGGGTACTCGGGGGGACTGAGAGGGGGGTCCCGTGGGAGATGGGAACCCATGGGACACGCTGTCCTCCCTGGCACTCCTCTCAGCCAGGAGCACGGCACAAACCTGAGGATGGGAGTTAGGAAAGCTGGTGAGCGACGATTCCGTCACACGGGCAGGAAGGCTGCTCTGCCCATGCACATGCACAATAACCTGTTCTGCAGGGGCAGGCTCGCCCCGGCGCCCTGCAGAGCCTGCTCCAGAGCTGTCTGTGAGCAGGGACCCGAGGCCAGCAGAATGCAAACGCATCCTGAATGGCTTCTGCCTAAAATACAGCAGCTGCAGAGCGCTCCTGTCAAAATTACTCTTAATCAGGCTACAAGTGACATGGCATTCCCAAGGGCAGGACACATGCCCAATTTCAAAGACCCTCTACACAGAGGCACGCATTTGCTGAAGGCTCTGCACTAGAAACAGCTAAGGACTTGAATGGGAAACTCTGGAGGACAGTGCAGGTTCAGGATTTGAAGCTGTCGAGACACACAAGACAAAACATGATTTTAAATACGTGTTTCAGCTCAGCTATGACATTAAGACATCAGTCCTGTAAAACTGCCAGCAAATTCATTGGCAATCCCAATCAAAAATGTTGAACGTGGTAACTTTTTTGTAATTGGTATATCTCAGTGTGTGCTTGGAACGAGGGGGGTTTTTATTCTTAAAAAAAATAATAAAAAAAACAACAAACCCAACCCTCGTGTTTGGTTTCATTCAAATGAGTTCTTATTGCTGAGTAAGGAGAAACCTAGGGTGTGTTTGCAGGTGGATATGTCTTTGTTTGTAAGGACTCATAAAAACTTAAGCAATTATTTTTAAAATGTTGCTGACTCTGCCTGTGCAAACGCTTGCTTCTCCACAATAAAGAGATTGTGGAGGGCAGGAGGAGCTCCCATATTGAAGAATTTTTCAGTTTGACTGCTGAGTCCTGTTACCTTTGCTGTCCTTCCCTATAGCAAAGGGTATATTCAATCAGTGATTGTCATAGCAACCCTTTTTTGGGTGGTCTTGTCTCTTTCTGGGAGATAAATTTTTCATTGAAAAAATAGTAAATGAGCAGATTTCAAAATGTGTGAAGGGAAATTAGTCACCCAGATTCCACTGGCATTCAGCAGGCTTCTGTCTTTTGAAAGCTTCTCACTAGTCTCACCTGTTTTGTTATGGAAATGCCTTCTCAGGATAGGTTTTTTGCAGGGGGCTTGGTTTGGGAATGGGGAGAGCGCATTGGAGTTGGGTGTGTTTTTCTTGACAAAGTAGTTTCAAACAGTTGTTCTAATATACATGTTAAGCCTAATGAGGATGAGTAATATGTCAATTAACTAGAGATTTCCATGTCTTCTGGGATTCTAGGCAGAGCTGGATTCCAGGGCAAACTTTGAGCAGGAGACACTTGTATTTCCCTTCTCCTTGCCCCATGTATGAATTTTATGTCCTTCACTTTTCCTTCCTTCACAGTCAGCAGTGAGAAAATTTGTACCTGCAGTCATACCAACCACTGTACTAATGCAGGATAACTCAAATTAGGGGGTAAACATGTAAAGCTTGCTGCAGGTCCAGGTTACCAGGGAGCTGGGATATTTCTATGCTGAGATTGGCTGGGGTGAAATCCTTCCTTTTCCGGACCTGGCCACTCAACTACATTTTCTCTCATTTTAGGGGAGCACCTGCGGATCTGCCCACAAGGCTATACCTGCTGCACCAGCGAGATGGAGGAGAACTTCGCAAACAAAAGCCGAAGCGAATTTGAAGCCATGGTGAAAGAGGCTGGTCGCTCTGTGCAGGCAACCCTGACAGCGCAGCACAGGAGCTTTGACAGTAAGTAAAACCTGCTTGGTTCCCCCCTGCTCAGGATCCAGTCACTGCTTGACTTTCCAAGCACTGTTCGAGACAGGGATTCGTGTTTGACACACCTTCCTCTGCATCTTGCTCAATAGTTTGTGTGAAACGTTCATCTGCAGGAGGAGTTGTACCTCTGGCAGAGGTTTTGCAAGACCAAGTCATTTTGAGAACTCTGTTTCGGTGAAGCCATTGCAGGGGGCTGGCAGGCACTCATACCAACAAATTGTGTACCTTGGCACTGACACAGCTTTTACAAGCATGGCGTAATCGGGTCTTACCACAGCAGCATAACATTTGAGGTAGTGATGTAAAACTTGGCGCTATGCCTTGAGCTGTAAGTTGAAGAATATGGTAAAGGTGACTGGATAGCCCTCGGTAGGTGGGGAGGGTTTAAGGAGGCCTGGATTTTTCTTCTCCTTTTCATATAAATTGCAAATGAAAAGGAGGTTAGTTCACATTAGACGCTTACAACTTTCAGCTTCATATAAACATCAGAAAATGTTGTACAGCAGTGAAGGTCTTAGAGAGTGTGGTGCATAAGATGTTGTGGACAAACTCTCTCCAAAGTGCAGTATCCCTCCTAACGTGCTAAGCAAAGGCTAAGAATGGCTCTCTTACTTTTATTGTTCCCTGAAGAATCCATTTTGCAGTGCACAGTAAGCCTGCAGGTCTGAAGGCCACTGAAAATAAATGGTTTATTGGCAAAATTGAGATGACCTATGCTTCTGAAACTGTATCCATTATCAGATTTTGAAGAAGGTCAAACATTTAGAATCACGGTCCTCCTAACTTTATCAACAGTCATCGTATGGAGTTATTGTGAAAATAATAGGAGTTGGGGAAAGAACCTATAATAGCCAGAAAGGTGGAACTGGAAATTTCAAGCAGTAAATAATAGATCTAAAGAAATAAGCCTGACCTTCAGGGAGCCGATAACCGAGATTAAGTGCTTTTACACTGAACAGAAAGAAAAGGCAGTGCATCTCTGCAAAATGCATTGTAACTATGTGGCCAGGCTTGACAACAGCAAAGGCATTCCTTTAAAAGCTGAAAATTAATTGATTCTCACCTGCCTTAAAAAGTGATAACCAGGATTTTCAAAGAGCCTGACAATGCTGGTTGCTCAGGCTGATGTCTGAATGGAACCTGATGCAGCTGCCACTGAGCACACTCGCCGACCTCTGAAATCCAGCGCTTCGCAGGGGTTAATGCACAACATCCACCAGCATTGGCACCCTCTCCTTCCACTGCCTATCGCAGCATTGGCTGGTATATATGCTCCTTATTTTTGCTATAGACACTCAAAAGAATGTATCTGTCATATTAGAGAGTGTAAAATCTGATGGAAGCTTTGAGGATTATACTGATGAGCAGAAATTGCCTAATGAAGAACTGGTTAGGATGAGTGTCATGTTTTGGTGCATTAATAATAATAACAGCAGTAAGTATAATAGTAAGCAAAGCCAAGCATATGAAAAGGAGATGCTTGCATTGAGATGACAATTACAGCTGTAAGGGCTTTCTTTTTTTTTTTTTTTTTTTTTTTTTTTTGTGTTCCCTAGCATTTTACAAAAATAGAGCTTTATTTCTGTGGTTCATACCTGAGTTTCTTTTAAGCATAAAACAAAGTAAGTGTTCAATAAGCCAAGTATTACTTTAACAGACCATAATGCACAGATCATTGGTGTTTTGCAGTGTGAATAACCTCAGTTGAGCCCACAAGGCCACGAAGATGTCTTCTGCTCCCATTATACCGTTTGAGTTTGCTTAACTACCCTTGCAATCAATATAGTTTATCATTTAGGCAAGACATTATTTGGAAAAATAAATCATTATATTGTGTCAAAGTTTCAAGCATGATTTTATCTACAAGCAGTATTATTTTTTCTTTAGTTACTGCATAGATGGTTTTAAATTGGAGTTCTGGTGAGGAGGTAATGGAATCACCTCAGCTCCTGAAACAATGCCATAGAAACCATCCTGTCTTCCAGTTAATGTTATTAATCTCACAGTTAACAAGACTTTTTGCAGGTAGTGCTGTTTAGAGCTGTTCAGTAAAAGAGTTTTAATGTGAGATTGATGAGTTCTAGTCTTTTTGGCACCAGATGCCTGGTGTTGCTGGATTTGCTTAGCAGCAGCTTAGAGCACAGGTTTTGAGGTTGCAGAGGTATTGATGCACAGCTTGTCTTCATATTAGCGATTCCGTTTGGCCTTAGGAGGATGTGGTGGGGGAGGATCCACTGGATGGGGATGTACAACCCTTTCTCATAGTACTTGCAGCCTGGGGATCAGATTATTCATATATTCTCCGCTAGCAGGTGTGCCACATTGAATTTCAGGCCCGGAGCTGTCTTTTTGAGATTAATCACAGCAAATTCTGTAATCTCACTGCTGATCATGGCAATAGTCTCTACTTGTAAATTGCCCTGAAGCTCCAACTAGAAAATAGCAATGCTACAGCAATCTGCATCTGAAGTAATATTCTCCATGCTAGTGTTCAAAATTTTGCTTTGGAGAATAGTTCGTCCTTTCAGGTTGTGGTCTGTAAAGCCCTAAATTGTCAGAGTGCCTCTGTTCTGAGCTACAGCTTTGTCCCATTGCAGGGATTTATAATCTCTTGTTCCAGTCTTACTGGCTGCTTTTGGGACATACACTTGGTGGCCAAGAGCAGAGTGTCGTTTATCTCATACAAAGTATGACATATGATAGGTATAGACATATATTCCAAAGGGATGTATGTGGAATGGGATCCTGCGGCTTGAGCACTCTTTCTGCGTAGCAGAGGACATGTACCGTTTGGGATGGCCTTCCTCCAGGATCTGCGAGGGCTGAATTTCAAGTTTAACAGCTGACAATATTGCTTAGCTGCTTATTAGTGTATTTGTTGTTTTCCTTTCATGTACTGTAGTTAGCAGGATTTGGGAGCTACACGTGTGGTCATTGGCTTGCTGTTGACCTTTTGGCTGAAAAGGTAGTGTTTTGCTCTACAACCGATTGGTTTTAATTTTAAAAAGAAAAAAAAAGTGCATGGACCATGAGTGATAGGAACATATGCTTTTTGTAAGTCACTGTTAGGGAGGACACTGAGGTCAGAGTAGTGGCATTTCGTTAGCAGGATTATAGGCACCAATTCTTTATTCACTCTAATGTCCCGGGGCTCTTGGTCAGGCAGGGAGGGGGGTGCAGTTACCTGGGTGTGCAGTCTGTGGCGGGGACCTGCTGGAGGCTGATAGGTTGGTTTTGGCGTAGAGTGTATTTGCCTGGAAAACTGTACGTAACCCATACTTTGAAACAAAAACTTGAATAATAAAAACAAGATTGGTATTCTTGGAGGGAGCTGGGACAGTTTCTGTTCTACCAACATTATACATGCCTCAGAGATTTTAGCTGCAGAATGTGCTTGTTTTCAAACTGGTGTCATCTCAGTGGATGGAAATTTTTTGGTATCTGTTATTGTAAAATGAAATACTTTGACAAGGAACTTGGCTCCAGCAGATGGTTTCAGGAATCTGATGAGAGCTGCCTGCTGCCCCCTCTGCTGGCTGCAGAACAGGAGTTAACCAGTGGAGCATTTTGGTTCTTGAATTGTGCTGAGAGCAAGTTATAAACATGGAACAGGTTTGGGGGAGATTTCTTGGGAAAATGAGCTGCTTTTTGCATATCACACAACTGTACGCCAGTGTTGCACAAACTCATGGGACTTGCAAACTGCTGTCCTTCCCAATGAAACTTGTGCCTCCATAATCTGTTACAGAGCCTGGAAGAACCTCTGGGCCATGCAGGAGAGGCCAGAGGAGTGATTTGTGGTGCCTGGGGAGAGAAGTCACGTTAGGAGCCCGTGCAGGCTGGGACGGCAGCATGGGCTGGGGCTGCACGGCTGGCAGAGGGGGCAAGAGTGTTTGTCTAGTCTTGATGAAAGCTCACTTGTTGCACATCTAATCCTTGTCTGCCTCTCTTCTTTCTCCCTTTCTCCTCATTGAAATAACTTTTTAATAATACTGCAATGTTGTGCCAGCCTTTCCTCCCCAGTCATTTTGGTACACTTAGCAAGCGCTCCCTGTGTGACTGCTGACCTTTAGCTGTGAGCCAGGAAATCTGTCCTTTCAGAATTGTTTCATGTTTTCAGGAAATATCAACAAGCCGAACCAAAAGTCTTGGCTTTTATTCCACACTGCACAGTCTAAAAACGATTTGTAGCTCTCATAAATTCTGGGGTTTTTAAGCTGTGGCAATCAAATGCAGATTAAAAATCATGTCTTTTATAGGTGGCTGCTCATTCCAAAGTTGGTATCACGTAAAAGATTTCAGAACATCATAACATGTTGGTAGCTGGAAATCGCATATGCCAAAACACGGACCATGCAGATAATTAACATTATTTGAGAGTTAGTTCTAGACAGTTACATCTTTCTTATGAAGGTGAATCATTGTTTTAAATGTTACAAGGTGGGGAACATCCTAGAAGCCGCTACACACTGATGGTTAAAATTTCATAGATTTCTAAAGGCCTCCTGTTTAAAATTCAACCAAATGTGTCTTTGTCAGAGGAACTGACTTATTTAACCCACAGAACCTGGAGTTTCAGCCCCTGAAAGTACAGCTTTTGGGAGAGCAGCATGTGTACATATATTTATTTACATATGCTGTGGATGCTTAAGGAAGCTGATCAGGAGGCTATGGAACAGCCCCAGGAGGCAGAGCTCTGTCCTCCCCTGCTGACTTTAAACCTGGACTACAGAATCCAGACCTGACGCTGAATTTTGGGGGTGTTTTCTCAGTTGATGATAACATGAACCAAGCCTTGCCAACCTGATATTTTAAGGTATCTGATTTTGGTGGCCCACACACTGAAGGATGTGTTCTGAGAGATGCAGAAAATGATTGACCAAAGCAATGAACATCTGGGCCACAGGGACTGTGGTGCCTGTGTCCGCAGATGCATTGTCCCAACACGACTGCTCCACACTCCCAGCGTC